TCTCCGGAAACTATCGGGAGAACTGGCTATCCTGGATTTGGAGAAGGCTGAGGTTCTTAATGACTTCTTTGCCTCGGTCTTTACTGGCAAATGACCACACCACCCGAGTCTTGGAAGGTAGACACAGGGACTGTGAGAATGAAGACCTTAGGCCCACTGTAGGAGAGGATCTGGTTCGAGACCATCTCAAGAACCTGAACGTCCATGGGACCTGACAAATTCATCTGCGAGTCCTGAAGGAGCTGGCAAATGAAGTTGCTAAGACACTGTCCATTATATTTGAAAAATATAGCAGTCAGGAGAAGTTCCCAAAGACTGGAAAAAGGGAAATATAACCCCCATTTTCAAGAAGGGGAAAATGGATGACCCAGGGAATTACAGACCAGTCAGGCTCACCTCTGTGCCTGGCAAAATCTTGGAGCAGATTCTCCTGGAAGGCATGGTAAGGCACATGAAAAACAACAAGGTGCTTGGTGAAAGCCAGCATGGATTCACTAAAGGGAAATCCTGCCCAACCAACTTGGTGGCTTTCTATGATGGGGTTACAGAACTGATGGAAAGGGGTAGAGCAGCTGAGGTCATCTATCTGGACTTGTGTAAAGTGTTCGACACTGTCCCACACAACATCCTTGTCTCTAAATTGGGGAGACATCAGTTTGATAGGTGGACCACTCAGTGGATAAAGAACAACTGGATGGCCACACACAAACAGTTGTGGTCAATGTCGCAATGTCCAGCTGGAGACCAGTAACGAGTGGTGTCCCTCAGGGATCGGTGTTGAGACCAGTCTTGTTCAATTTTTTTTGTCGGTGACATGGACAGTGGGATTGAGTGCGCCCTCAGCAAGTTTGCCAATGACACCAAGCTGTGTGGTTCGGTTGATACGCTGGAGGGAAGGAATGCCATCCAGAGGGACCTTGACACGCTTGTGAGGTGGGCTGATGCCAACCTCATGAAGTTTAACCATGACAAGTGCAAGGTCCTACACCTGGGTCGGAGCAATCCCAGGCACAGCTACAGGTTGGGCAGGGAAGAGATTCAGAGCAGCCCTGTGGAGAAGGACTTGGGGGTGTTGGTTGATGAGAAAATGAACATGAGCCAGCTTCAGTGTGTGCACTTGCAGCCCAGAAAGCCAACTGTATCCTGGGCTGCATCAAAAGGAGCGTGACCAGCAGGTGGAAGGAGGTGATCCTGCCCTTCTACTCTGCTCTCATGAGACCTCACTTGGAGTATTGCGTGCAGTTCTGGTGTCCTCAACATAAAAAGGACATGGAACTGTTGGAACAAGTCCAGAGAAGGGCCACGAGGATGATCAGGGGACTGGAGCACCTCCCGTATGAAGACAGACTGAGAAAGTTGGGGCTGTTCAGCCTGGAGAGGAAAAGGCTGTGTGGAGACCTCATAGCAGCCTTCCAGTATCTGAAGGGGCCCTATAAGGATGCTGGGGAGGGACTCTTCATTAGGGACTGTAGTGAAAGAACAAGGGGTAACGGGTTAAAACTTAAACAGGGGAAGTTTAGATTGGATATAAGGAGGAAGTTCTTTACTGTAAGGGTGGTGAGGCACTGGAATGGGTTGCCCACGGAAGTTGTGAAGTGGTTGTATTCAAGGCCAGGTTGCAGAGAGCCTTGGGTGACATCATTTAGTTTAAGGTTTCCCGCCCACGGCAGGGGGGTTGGAACTAGATGATCTTAACGTCCTTTCCAACCTTAACTATTGTATGATTCTATGATTCATGGTTAAACTTACACTGGTGGTGGATTAAAGTAATTAAATCTGAATTCCAAAGCATGGTTACATTAAACATAAAATGTACCTCCACTAAAACAGGCGAGTAACTATTTACAGACTCCTTTGCAAAACAGACAAGACTTTAAGGTGATGGAATCTGAAGTACCCCCTCAGGAACACCAGTAACCCCTATTATCTGGCACTGCAGACCACCCAAGATCATGGCATGGGTAAGTAACATACAATTATTGTTTATCACACAACTATTGTTTACTGAGGACACTGCTACTCTGCACTTACAAACCCTAGGAAGAGTTGCATTTACCTTTGGCACACACACTCAGAACCCTGGAAACCCTGTAGGAACTGCAACAACTGTTCAGTATCACTCCCTGGACTTAATTTTTCCCACAGGAACCTAAATAACTTCTGGAGACAAGAATTTTCTATCAGAGAAAAGAAAAAAATGGGGACATCAGATGTTTACTTTATATGAAATGAAATTAAAAAAAGGAAATTGCTTTTCCATGTCTGCTTTATTGTAATGCCACTGAACAGAAGCTTACTGATGAGCCAAGTTCACTACCATGTTCTTCAGCTTCCACTGGGACAGCTGCACTCTACAAATATTTCAGGAAAACTTGGAAATACTTAGCTGGAAATCACAGTACCAGAATTATTTCAGTCCACACATAAAACGATGAATGTGATCAGTTTTCTTGTGCAGTGCAGTGCACACAAACTGCTCTGTTTGGCTTTTTAAAATTACACCAGCTTGTTCTTAAGACTAACACTTACATGCATTTAGACAAGGCTTCTTCCATGAAGTCTACCATAAGTATAGCTCTAGTGTTGGGGCAGAAGGTACTTCTTCCCTCACAGAAACTCCTGAGCCAACTTAGCTGATGTCTTGAAATATTAAACTTTACTAGCCTGCTGAAATTGATATCATACTGTGGGATAGGATTGGATGTACTATAAGAAAACTTGTGTTGGTTCTGTATTGCAACTATTCCATTGATTAAGGAGAATTTCAACAATCAGGACTATTAGTACCCAAAGAATTAATAAAACAAAAACAACAACAAAAAAAAAACTAGAACTTTAAACTCATAGACACAAAGAGCTAGCCCAAAATCACATCAAGTCTGTCCAGTGTACTCTCCAGACTTCAGACTACATTTCAAGCTGCAATCTGCTTCCTGCAACCTGTTGAAAAATGCTGAAGCTGAAAAATATTTAAACCAAACTATGACACCCAGAACACAAAAACCCCTCCCCAAAAAAAGAGTGCCGTAACACAGGGAGACAGAACAGCTATCTACTAAGACTCTTAAGAAGACCCTTAAGGAACAGATTGTTGTGGAGTTAGGGATTAGCTACCTCACTGGGGCTCTTTACCATAATGCCTGAGTCACTTCTGAGTCACGTACACAAGCAGAAACTTTGTGCCTGAAGAATGTTATTGAAGGAAAGTGGTAACTTGCAGACATGCAAGTCACTGCCTAGCACCAGTTCTGATGTACTTGCCCTGTGTGTTTTCTGACCATGTAGTTGATACAAAAGGAAAGACAGCAACAGAAAGTAGCAACACATTAATCACAGGTTTTGTATGTGTGTGTATCTGACACTTCACACACATCAAAAGCAAATCCAAGAATAAAGAGCACTTGTTAGTAAAAAGAGGGCTTGTTAAAGATGATGCACCACTCTCCCGAATGTCTGTGATACCAACTGAAAAGATGGGAAGCAAAGCACCTGCAAGCAATATACTCCCTTTTTGTAGTCACCAGTCCCTGCAGCTCCAGCCTTTCACCCAGCAAGTGAACGTACTCAGGCAGAGCAGAGCTGTTCTGCTGCCTATCCCTGGCAAGCTGTGGGTTACTGGGCTATCAGGACCTCTCCTCTCACCTGGTGGTAGCTGGCTCGGGCTTCCAGCATCATCTGCTGAGTGCTGATCATCTTCTTCCTCCGCCGGCACTCCTCTTTTAGCGCCTTGATCTCCTGTGAGCACTGGGTCATTTCCTTGCCTAGCTGGTCACGCTGGGCCAGGGCGGCTCGCAAGGCCTCCTCCAGGCTGCCGAGCTGGGCGCTAAGGTACTCTTGGGAGTGCAGCAGGTACTCGGTGCAGAGCTGGGCCAGGCGCAGCAGCTTCAGCAGCAGCGGGTCGGCGGGGCCCTGGCAGTGCGGACAGCGCTCCCGCTCGGCGTTGCAAAAGGTGACGTGCTCCAGGTGCTCCTGCAGGGCCGCCACGTCCCCCTCCCGCGACACCCGGCACACGTCCACGGCGCTCAGCCGCCGCCAGTCCGGGCCCTCATGGCGGTCGCGGAACTGAAAGGCGGGAAACGGCACCGACCCTGTGCCGGCCCCGGCTCCCCCCGCCCCCGGCGGATAGTAGGCGCGCTCGGTGAAGGGCTGCGAGAAAGAGACACGGCTCAGCATGGGCCGGCACCCACCCCATCCCACCTCCCGCCCTCCCTCTAAAGCGCTCACCATGGCCAGGATCTCCGCTCAGCGCCGGCGTCCTCCGCGTTACTATAGCAGCCTCGGCCTGCGCGGGGTAGAGGCGGGAGTGAGGCACGTCCCCGCCGCCTCCCGCCCGCCCCGCCGTCCCCCGACACATGGCACACACTCCTCCCCCCCGTTCCCCCGCCCTCCGAGCGGGTCCTCGGATCAGTGACCGACATAAATCCCGTCCCCTTCCTCATCCCAGCATCGTCTTTCCCCAGTATCTCCACGTTCTCCTAGCAGTGATCCGCTAACCAGCCCTCTCCCGCGGACCCCAGTGCATCCTTTACTGTCTTCACGCAGGACTCACAACAACAAACATATCCCCTGCTACACTATTACATATACGGCCCCCTATCACAGCTACACAGCATATGCTTTCTCTCTCCAAGTTCCCTTCACTTCGATGAAGCCTACACATGGCACCCAAGGACACACTTCACTGCATGGATGCTCCCCACTCACCACCCTGTCCCTCCTTCATGCTACTCCTGACTCACAAACCTTTCTCACTCTACCACACTACACTCTACTGTTGTGCTGTCCCAGGCCCTTCTTCAGCCTCACCTACTCATCTCCCAGATGTGGTGACACCTGTCATGTCCCCACCATCAGCTTATGATACATATGTCATTTCTCTGCACATCTGCTTCATGTTGCTGTACCTCCTGTGCCTCCGTACACAACTCCACATCCTCCCTATGCCTCTGCCAGGTGTTTTCACACACCCTCCCCACCCTAACACGGCCATACAGCCTTTGCATACTGTTTCCATGTGCTCTCCTCTCTCATCACACCAACACACCTCCACTGGGTATCACCACGCATCACACTACCACCTGCAACCATGCAACCCTACAGCCTCACTATGTCTGCCTGTCACTCTGCCTCAGCTCTACTGATCACAGAATCATAGAATAGTTAGGGTTGGAAAGGACCTCAAAAACTTCACCACCGAACACCTAGTCGCTTGTGTACATCAGAATTACAAACTCTTAGTTTTATGTAGGTTTTTATGTTGTTGTGCTGAAAAGCCTGTTTGCTTTTCCCACATACATGGATATATTAAAATACACCTGGCCTCATTTAATTTCCCCATATTAGCAGACACAGGTAGAATGCAATGCACTATTTCAGTTGGAAGGGACCTACAACAATCATCTAGTCCAACTGCCTGACCAAAGTTGGTCAGGGTGTCTGTAAGCTGACCAAAAGTTAAAGCATGTTGTTGAGAGCATTGTCCAAATGCCTATTAAATACTGACAGGTGTGGGGGTTGGAATGTATCAAGGCTTTCAGAGACCATGGGGAGGAGAAACTACAGCTGGCAATTAAGAGTGACCATGAGAAGGAGGAACTACAGAAGGCAATTAAGAGTGACCTGTCCCTGACTGGTACTTGGAAGATGTTGGAACTGGCAAGGAACAAGGACATCAGAACTGGAAAGAGGATGTCGGTAAGAAAATCAGATAGACCTTTCACCTCATGTAACTGCAAGGCAAACACAGATGTGCTTTGCTAATTGCTTGGAAGCATATAAATATCGTGTCATCTTTTCAATAAATGATCCAGCTTGCACTCTACCTCTGGGTCCATGCCTCCATCCTCACAGACAGGCTTGGGGCATCAGCCACCTCTCTAGGAAGGCTGTTACTGTGTTTTACCATTCTCTTGGTAAAGAAATGCTTCCTAATGTCCAGTCTAAACCTCCGCTGGTGCAGCTCTGAACCATTCCTGCAAGTCCTATCTCTTATGACTTTTTCTTAAATTAGAAAGATAGTGTGTGGTGTTTGTAACACTGCAGTCTTCTATAAGGATGCCACCTCATTTTTTACAAACAGGGCCTCAGCAATTGCTATCTTCAAAGAAATCTATTTAACATTTTTTATATATCTCAAATACAGATCTGCCTGGGTTTACCACTGAACTTCACACTGCTCTGACTCCTGAAGTAGGTAAGAAAGTATGTCCTCTAGATACTGCAGATGCACTTCCATTTAGAGTGTCTAAATATACTTTCATCCGTAAGCAGCTAGATTTGTAAATGCTCAAATACTACTGTTGAAAGTGTTCATGCCTTGAATTCCTTAAAAAACCTCGAAAACTGCTATTTGGATATTATTCCTAGTGAAAGGGACTCCTAAGTTGTATGTTTTGCAGCAGATCCTCCTGGAAAGTTGTACAAGGCCAGGTTGGACAAAGCCTTGGGTGGCATGGCTTAGTGTGAGATGTCCCTGCCCATGGCAGGGGGGGTTGGAACTAGATGATCCTAAGGTCCTTTTCTACCCTAACTATTCTATGATACTACGATTCTACGTAACGAAACCTATCTCCCAAAGACCGTAGCCTACCACATGCTCTATCTATTCGACATATGAGAAATTTCTTCACATAGAAAGCATATGAATTTTGTAAACTAACAATCCGTGTGTCAAGCAGGAGAAGCCTTAAAAAGCACACAGGCAATATGGTTGTCTAACTCACCGATGTGCAGGTTCAATAAAAAACCCCATAGTACTTAAAGCCAGCAAAGTTAAACCAAACCTGTGGATACACTTATGCTCCTTGAACAACACATTTAGTCGGGAATATCCATACAGAGTTTCTTGCTGCTCCAACTAAACCTGCTTTAACAGAGCACAACCTCACAGCGGTGCATCGCAAAGCTGACGCGAGGCACAAGCCGCCCAGGCATCTCAGTGGAGACAGTCCGTAGGGGCTGCGACAGCACTTTCGGATCTGTTTTTCCCTTTCTGTCAGGTTTACTTCATCCTTGGAGCTGAGCCCATGCAGAAGTTAGGCCCATCAACCACCCGCAGGGCCCCTCTGTTAGGAGCAGCACCACTGTAATGGACGCGTGGTGGGCAGCGGCGGAGGCCTGGTCCCCCGAACACCCCTTCCCACCGGGAAAAACGGTCTTGCACCGTGGTCGTGCCCGCAAGGCAGACCTAGGCCCGGCAGCGGGGCGTTCGGCGGAGTGCAGCCGAGCAGGGCCGGGCCTGCGGGAGGCCCTAAGCCGAGCTCCCTCTTAGAGCCAAAGCCTCCGGCTTCGCTTCGGAGAGCGGCCTCCCGCCCCGCTCCCTCCCGCCTCCCCCAGGGGAGAGGCCCCGCCGCCCGCGCTTCCCTCCGCTCACACCCCGGGGGACAGCCCCTCAGCTCACCTCAGGCTGCCGTGGAGGCGTGGTGGGGCCACGGCCGATCCCCGCTCCGAACTCGGGCCGGTAACGGAGCGTACCACGGAAAGAGCCAGCTCCGGCCTCGCCTCCCCTGTCCCGTCCCGTCCCAACCCGTGCCCTGGCACCTCCCACCGCCCCGGGGCCGCGGAGGGTGGGTGAGTCGGCTCGGCGGCGGATGGGAGCGGCGAAGGGGACCGAGCGGCTGCTCCAGCGTGTTTTCCTGAAGTGGGGAAGAGGGCACCGTGGTCAGGGGAGGGTACGGCGGGAGTAGGCTTTTTCCGGAGGGAAATACAGTATCAGCGATCAAAATACCTATCGTACCATGCAGGTAGAATCACCCGAACGGCTGCAGGTTCCATCAGATCCTCCTAATTTTTTATTTATTTAGTTCTTCCCTGTAAGATTTTGAAATGTGTTTTCCCAGAATAAACACCATGCAGCCTGTGTGGCAAGGAAGAAAACTCCCAACAGTCTGTATTTAATGTAAAATATGCTGGAAAATTGAGCAGAGGAGATGGCCATTGCACACCTACACCACCTCATCTGCACTGAGGAGTTCCATTTGGCCAGCGGGACACCGTTTTCTTCCAATAAGCATAAGGAAAACTTTTGGCTCTCAACATGTGTGCTCAGACACATACCAAGACACCGGCTTTCCTTCATGAACCATGAAATTCTGTTGCGACGGTGTTGACATGGGCACATATGCTGCTTGAGTACACCAGCTTTAAGAAAATAAGTAACCATTTGGATGCTTCAGGTTTTAATGCCCTAAGGGTACCTCAGATTGGGTATTCAATCTAGAAGATCAAGCTAGAGTTATTCTGAAGGAAAACCTGAACATGTGTAAAATGTGGATGTCAGGTCCTCAGTACTGACTTGCTTCTGCTGATCTGCTCCTGTTGGGCTACTAAAGCAGGCATTGCCAGAAAAAGATGGGGATATCAAGGCTTTAGTGTGGTAAACCTTAATTAACACTAATAATGAAGAAAAGACTTTGAAAACTAGCAATGTGACAGCCACAGCCTCTATGGGTCAGGCCTAGAGGCAAATATGCAGTAGGAGTTGATGAGCACATTATGTGAATGGTTAGAGTATTCACTTGGAAAGCAAAATGTACCTAAGAGGCTTTATATCCCATGCCCTTAAAGTGTCCTAATGGCAACACCCTAGTCTGTCCAGTGAACCTTCTAAAGATCTCTTGCTGAAGCTGTTTTTTACATCAAAGTAAATGCTAACTAGGTAAGAAAATGTTAGAGATTCTCATCAGTGGATGAGGGAACGTGTGTACAAAGTGTGCAGAAACACTTGGATCTTGGTCACTTATTCTAGTATCTGTTTAATATAAAATACATAAGCAGCCCTTGGAACAAGAACTAGAACCGAGTTTTCCATTCTGTAAGGGGAGGACCATCACCCTGTCTGCTAGACAATCTCATTCTTTCCCTCTTGCTTCCTTGCAGAGCTTGATTAATCTTTAATTACTTGCTGTAAGTGGTACAGCCTCACTTGGCAATAGCAGGTATTCTTTAACCCACATTACTGCCTGGTTCCTCCCTCCTCATATCTCATAGGCTGGTGACAAAAGTACTCTCCTAAAACAAGACATGGATTTACTAGGAGAAGACAAGAGCATTTTAGCTTTTCCCCATCAGTATGACTTGATGCAGGAGGTTTAGGACAGCCAGCAGGCTGGCTAGAGCAGACAAGTGATTACTTTTGGTACACAAATGAACATGGTGTGCAATCACCATATATCTACCTCAGATAAGGTTTCAGCTGACACCCGGCCACATGGACACCATGTACCCCCTGAACTGCTGCCTTGGGAGACAGTAAACTTTCTCCACTGGCCATCTTCCGAAGTTCAGTAATCATCACATTTAACATGTACTGTGGGAACATGTGGGATATGCTCCTGTGAACTCACCCTAGGTGAATTAGCTTAAGGTATGCCCAGCTTGTGTCCAGCATGAAGCACTGAAAATAACTCAGAGCAGCTCATTCTTTGAAGACACAGTGCTGTGGGTGTTTTCAGACAGGGTGTATTTTTTTTCTTTAGTTGCCTAGGAGACAGTGAAATACTTCCTTCTGCAGTTAGCTACCAACCTTTTTTTTTACAGTAATAGGATACAGCTCAATGGGAATTTGAAGAACCTAAATTTGCACTGAGGCACTAAAGACTTTATAGAGTCCTGACTCAAAGCTGGTTCTTCCCCCTTGTATTGTTTTATTCTCGGCTGCTTCTACCAAGTCACACTTCTAATCCTAAACACTTACTTACCCTATTCTAGCCTGTACATCTCATTACTATGCACTAACACATTATTTTCCATGTGCCACCCTACTGTAGGGAATGGTTTAAAGTTGTCCAGGTTTATCAAATAATGTTAAGTCTATGTTACTACTTACATCCTCTACTTAATGTGGAGGACTCTGGCAACTAAAAGAGTCCTCCAGAGGTAGTTTCTGTGCGTGACAGTGTTATAAAACTATGGTCTGTTGTTCTAGGAGGATTTTTCATATTCTGTTGACACGGTGCAATGATGAATATGGGGTGTTTTGGCAGAATTCAGGAAAGATGAGTAAGGAAGAACTGAGATTTCTAGGAAGTAGAAACATTTTTACAGAAAGCTCGTGAGAAAAGCTAGGGAAGAATAAAGATGGGATGAGGAAAGTGAGTTAAAGTGCAAGAAGTAAACCTAGAATATTGATTGCAGCAAGGTATTTGTGAGGCTTATAGAGGGTACCTGCAACTGGAGAGCGCAAAAAGGAGAGAGCATTCTGGCTGTGGGGTGAAATCCAATGACCCTATTGGGAAGTGTGCCGGGCAGCACGGTGTCAGGGCACAGAGTGGGCCAGCTACTCCTCATGGTGTGTGAGGGCATGAGCCGGCAGCCAGGGCGCATCCCACCTGCAGACAGGGCTCACTGGGGTAGCCCCAGCCCTAGGGAATCGGATGCTTGCCAGGGATAGGGATGTGCTGAGGCAATGTGGGGCCCATGACTTGGCTATGAGAAGCTGGACAGTGGCCCTTCTATGGTGTCACTAGGGCAGGGGCTGATGGCCTGGGGGGCTGACATGTGGTCCTGGGCCCTGTGCAAGTGGGGAGGATGGGCAGGGACAGCCAGGCCTGTCAGTGCCCTTGGGGTACTAATGCAATGCATTAAGTGAAAAAATCATGTGCCTTGTTTGTGGCATGGAGGAAGAGGCCATACATGTTCTACAAGATGTTTTCATTTGAGAGGGCAGTGGAAAAACTGTGTTGGGAACTGAGAAATAGACATCTTTTTCCTACAGCACTCTCAGAGTGACATATACCAGTAATCATTAACTCTGTTGGAAAGTTGACCTGAGTAGCACGGTACAGGTATAATAATGAGTCCGGCCAGATTCTCAGTTTATTTAATCTTTTCTTTCCTGCCAGCTCCCTCCATGGCACATTTTTTGACTTTCAAGCAAGTGGTTGACATGATGCTTAGTTGCTGGCTGCAATTAAGTCAGGATAAATGCCTAGAATATTCCCACCTGTTCAATCTTTATATCACTTAGTTTACTGGAGGAAATAATGTATGTATTTATCACAGGAAAACAAAGGATTTAAAAGAAAACAAAGGTAGGATGAGCCACTCTCCTGTTTCATCTGTGCCACCTCCTTCACCAGCTGTGATTAACCAGCTTGAAGAGACACTGCCCCA